GGCAGCAATCGAGCCACCTGCCGTGGGGACAAAATGCAATGTTGCATTAATCGGCTGACCCATCGGCAAAAGCATTGACCATCCAATCTGCACGGCGGTCTGGCCAAACGGTCATCCAGACTTACTGCAAATTCACGAAGACCTACACTGGCAACTACTTTCAAGAATCAAAGGCTTTAAGATGCTCCTGAAAACAAGTCCAAGGCAAAGGGCGAAAAGGGCTATGGTCTACCCCACCCCTGCCAGGAAAAACGGGGATCAACAGTCACATGGGACCCTAGAAGTCAATCACCTGATTTACTGGACTCCAGGTCCTACAAAAACATATACTTAAAGGATGTATACAAGAACACCCCTTGATACACATGCTTTTACTGGGTCGGACTTAGTACTTGTCACGAGCCATCCCATCCAGCTCGTGTCCTCACCCGATCCACGCGGCGGGTACCGATCCACCGGGCCACGGATCTCGGCGGCACGGAACAGCTCCGTGGAGATGCCTCGACGACGTCGAGTGCCGTCGCGGAGAGAACGTCGCAAACACCAGGCGACTTGGTGTTCAATGGTTGTTCGTGTACGTCAAAGCACCAGCACCTGAAGAAAATCGTCCTTTTGTAGCATGTCTGGGCTGAAGAAAACGGTTGTTCACTTGGTTCTTCCCTGACATCCGGTGAACACCTAAAAAGCACATGTCTCTGAAAGAGTTCTTGGACCCTCAAAGGTTGCAATCGACATGGAGGGTTCATGTGATATCTCGACCAAACGTGGTCCTGCATCCTTGCAGTAAGATGCTCCTGTCAATAGGTGGTGCTTCCTACTGTGCTTCCTATAATAGGCTGTATTGTATCGTTACCTTCTGAGAAGGAGGCAGTGGATCCCTAGTGTATATTTATAGGCAGTGGCCAGCGTTCACGATATTCTCATGCTGTGCCTGAGACGAGTGACTGGGCCATTCTTAACGTGATCATGAAAACGGCTCGAAGACGTCATACACTTCCTGAAAGGATCATGGAAATTGGAAGCTACAACAAGAAGCTACTGGCATCGCTACTAGGAGCAAGGACGCTACTAGGGGCTCCTGGCCTGCTACTAGGAACAAGAAGCTATTAGGAACAAGAAGTAAATTTTCATGTTTAAAGAGGAATCTGGGCACCTGCGGCCCCTGACCACCCTAAACCCTACCGAGGCCCCCACTACTTTCTGAAGGCTGTGACTCCGAAGGCTGCGCAGGCCCGTTCCGCGAGCCGCGCAAGAGCTTCTCTTCCAAGCTCGTTGTGCGGCGGGAGCCTAGAGGGCAACAGCGTCACAGCCAGGTGCGGATGTTTCGTTCGTCTCCGGAAAATGCATGGTGCATCCAAGTGCATCCCACAGCTCTCGTGCCATGCCGCTCAAATGGCATGCACAGAATTCACTCCAATTTTGACTTTAAACTAATGCGTAGGAACATGTAGGAACTATATATATATAATAGGAAACTAGAAATGCTCTAACCATGTCTAGCCGAGCCCATGCTTAAGGGCAGCCTATCCTCGAGAACGATACTTGGCTGGATGCTTCCTGGATGGCAGGTTGCCTACTCTTTCAATCCTACCAAAAGGCATGTGGCAGCAAAAGTAAAAAAGTGTGACTATGTTCGACTGTCTTCCCTCCTCCTCCACTGTCTTCCTCCTCTCATCCACGCCGTGCGTTCATGGACTACCACCCTCCGGGTGCCCCGCTGGAACGCACTCCGCTCGAACGCGCGCCGCGAAGATCGCCACGCGCGCGTCGCGGGCCTGCGTGCCGCCGCAGGATCTGCTGGAAGGCCACGTCCAGGTTTTGTGCCCAGACTTCGCGCTGTTGATCCGCCAGCCTCGGACCGAGCGCACGTTCTCGGTGCGGGCACCCGCGTGGGCGAGTGCCAAGCAAGAGGGTGGATAAAGGATGTCCTGGTGGGATGTGAGGAGAGGTGAGGCTTTTTTGGAGGAAGATTTTCCATGAGCTTCAATCCATTTCAATCCCAAATAGTCAAGGGGGGCAGGGGGGCCAGTTGACTGATGTTGACTGTTTAAGATCCAGCATGACACTGCAAAGGACAGCAATGATCCTTTCCACAACTTTAGAGAACGCACAGGCAAGTTTGGATCAACTTGGGCGAGGGTGGGTGGTATGAAAGTTGGGACACAACAATAGCCAAACGATATGAGAAGGCCATCCGGGACTCCAAGCCTCTGCATAGGCTGAGTTATCTCCGCATATCTCCGCTATCTATGAATATGTTGAATGCTCCGTGCCAAACTATTCTTGCAAGGACACTTGAAGTTTGGTAGCGCAACACACGAACAAACATTGCGCAAACGGGAGATCTTCCAGTGGATGGATGGAGCTCCCTCGACCACTCGCGACCAGATCAGGGCGCTGGAGCAGCTCTCGCTGCTGCTCGGTCAAAATCTCCAGGAGCTCCTCGCATCGCGTCGGACGTCGCTGAAACAGCGGACGTCGCTGGTTTCAGCTCGGCCAAGGCAGCTCCAGCGGTTTGGGAAAAAGCTCCACCGTTTTGGGGCCAACGTTTGGGAGATGTGGATAATATTTTTGGATATGGGTTATCTTAGAAGGATCCCCCCATATGGGGTGCGTGGATAATTGATTTAAGATCTCCCATATGTTTTTGGGCAACCAACGTGGAGTTCCAGACCTTGGAACGGAACTTGTTGGATGCGTGAAACCTCGAGCACAGGACGGGTCGCGTTCGCGTGCGGTGCCGTGATGGGGCGTCGCGTTCGTGCTGCAGTGACGGAGCAGTTCAGGGGGATGTGAACTCGTTGCTTTTGGTTCCAAGGTTTTTGGGGCTGAACTCTCTAGTCCGCTTCATGGGCATCCGATGGTATCCGGCATCCGGGGATACTTCTAGATAATTTGAGTCTGCTTCTGGCCTCCTTGGTTTGATGTTTCCGGTTCCAGGTGATCATTACATCTTTTGCTTTGAGGTTGACCAAACAACAGGACCTTCAACAACCAACAGGACCTTCAACAAACAAGCTCGCGTGGGTAAATGCAACAACGTCATGGTTCCAGAAAACAAGAAGGAATACCTATGATGACAAATGACATCAATGCTGTTCTATCCTTTTCTTCTCTGCCTTCCCAGGCATTTGAAGGTTCACTCTCCCAACAATCCGAATGGATGAAGAATCTGTTGTACTCTGTACCCTTGAAGTATACCAAACTGGTGACTAAAATGATCTAAAATGTGTACCTTCCTTGTGGGGTCTTCAATCAACACCATACCTCTGGCAGCTCTCCGTGGTGTTCACAGCACCAGTCATTCAGCTCCAGAGGTTCTCGTTTCAGAACCCGACACTTCGACCATGCCAGTTGGGTACCGGTTCCAGGTCCAGAGGCGACTGCCACCCCTCCACCGGTCAACCTGCACATCGGCCCCCCTGGCGTCCTCCAGCTCCATCGGGGCCGTCTCGACGCCCGGCGAGCCGGCCCACGCGGCACCAAACGGAGGACGCAGATGTTTTCTTTATTTTTGTTAAGGTGACTTTTTTGGGTCCAGCCCGGATTTGATCTCTGCTGTGCTGTGGACATTTTTGTGTGGGAGCTCTTCAGAGCTCTGGGAAAAAGGCGAAGAAAGAATGTAACACGTTAATGGGCTTTTGGGCTGTTTGATTTGAGAGGTGCCGAAGACATCCGGACGAATTTGATTATATAAGACTTATATATAGATTTTGGATTGGTACTGTAGTTCTTTCTGTCTAAATAGAAAAAGGCTTGTAGCTTGGGTCTCTTTCAATGCTAAAATAGCCGGAGATCCAATACCGGCGGTGAAATTCTCTCTGGAGCCCAGTGGTGTCGAGCAGGCCCAGGCCGAGCAGGTCATTTCTTCCAAGGGAGCTGGTTGAGTATGGACATGATCCCGGCGCACCGATGGAGCAAGTTCTACTCCAATCCCCTGTGAGTCTTGTTAGGTATGCATCAAGATGCGTTTTGGGTGTCTTGTGGTCGTTTTTTCCAGTGCATCACCAGAATGTAAAACCTAAAACTTCATAAAGATTCTGATATAGCCTTTTAGCTGCAATAGGTCTAGAGTTTAGAACTTCTACACGAGGATTGAATATGGATATCCGAGTTTATATACACACCCGAATGGTTTGTGGAAAGACGGATGATTTGAAGAATGCTTGAGCTCACTTAGAAACCTCTTGATTCTACTAGCTAATCAGTCGTGACTGTCTGGAAGCAAACAATCTACATGTACAATATCAATGTTGCATTTAGGGAGACAAAAATGAATGAATGAGCCAATGTTTTGTGGTCCGAACCAAAAGATATAGTGTGGGCTGTTTTATCAACACATATAGGACCACATAGGAACATTGTTATGGAACACCTTGGCAATCTGACAACACCTTCAGGGATTGTTAACAGGCCAACAACACTCAGCCTGGTTCTTTCATTTGATCAGGGTCGCCATCAAGAAGTCACTCACATTTGTAGAGCAGAACGCCGCATGACGCTGCCAAGACTGGATTCTGGTTGGATCCAACAAGCAACCCCAAAAGCGTCACAACATCAATTCCCAAGGACGCTACTAGTCATAATTCCCTTGTTCCTAGTAGCGATGCAATCGGCGATGCACTTGTTCCCCATAAAGTATATTAATAAATTGACCCCAAAAGCTTCACAACATCACTTCCCACCTGACTCGAAGTGGCTTTATGCCGTTCTAGTTTTTAAGGGATGTCCCTCAGTCGCTGTATTAACAGAACGGTGCAAGTCCAGTTCGAGCCCAAGCCAACTGGTCACCTCAACACATTTCCTCAATGAACTGTGCTTGGGGGGGTTGATCACGTCCATCACTTTCAGGACGAGACCAGGAGATCAGGAGACTGGACTCGACAGGTCAAACGGTCCTGGACGGTCAGGGAAGAGTGAAGGTTCCAAGCTTGGGGCTTATCAACCACTTGAACCCAATTTCGCCTATATTCGCCTCGACTTGCTCCAAATCACACCAGTCACGAGGGAAGCCTCGTCTTCCCTGCATTCCACCTGCTGCGCCAGACCTCACCGCCATGGAGCGTTCGATGGTCATGGACCCCGGGCCGTTCGATGTTGCGCATTGCCTCCAAGGCCAGCTTGGGGCCGATGCAAATGTCACTGAGATACCTGGCAGGCGGAGGGTCCAGCGGAGTACCGTCTTCCGTCTTCCCAGACATGACATGACCCGACGAACCCAAACATGACCTTTGTTTTGATAGGAAGTTGGACCGTGTTTGGGCTCCCAAACAGGGGTCAATCAGGTTCTAGGTATAAATACCAGGGCTCCCCAAGAGGTGTCATATTAATAGCTCCCCAGAGGTTAAGGGGTGTCCAAGAAGCACTCCGTGTGGGTCCTCTAGTAGAAATCATATCTAACATGTGTTGGAAAGAGATCACTCTTGAGATCACTCTTCGATCTATCTACTTGGCGGGAAGCTCGTCGGCTGAGCCGCTTTGCGGGTCCCTTTCTGATGGTGAAACATGGTGAAACCAGCAGCATCAACGGCATCCACTAACTATGCTTCAAAGCATGTTAAATGCCACACCACTCCTCAGAAGTGCATCAAAAACACATCAAAACTGTCCTAAACATCAGTGTAACCACTCCTGACACCACTTGGAAAGACTGAACAAAAAGGAAAAAAAGAAACATGCACTTCTTCAAACCATTCCACAACTTCACGGCCTGGTCCGGTTCTGAGAGCCATCGATGGGCAACAGCTGAAGCTCCAGTGCTTCGGCCTCAACCGTGGACTGACGAACGCCCAACGAGGACGGACGGTGCCATGGCGAAGAACCGAGGAATCCGAGGATGGTGCCGTGCTGTGAATCCATGTGAAACACTCAATCACAGAACCAACAGAGCTGGGTCAGAACCCGACTGTTCGACTATGCCAGTTGCCAGGTAGATTGGGTCCTAGTTCAGGTCACTGAAAACCTCTGTTGGAAGGGCAATGACCTGAGATTTCTCCACGAGGGATTCCGAGGTGCCACACTTCACGGATGTGTGAAAACAGAGGAACGCCACAACATACTCTCCCACAAACTAACAATGGAACCCGAGAATTGACCGGTGGAAAACCATTTTCCTCTACATGGTTTTGGGGGTCCATGTGGGTCTCTGCGGGGGAGTACTCCCAACCAAGTGACTCACAGATCCCAAATTCAAATGCATCAAACTCATCAAACGACCAAGCCTACCTTTTTCCAGCAAAGAATCGACCTTTTCCAGAGTTGTGCACTTATGCAAAGGGCTACTAGAGGCCTGGAATTCCCCAAATCAACGACCTCCTACAATCATCTCCCATGAGCTGACCCTGCAAACGTCGCTATGCAGTTCAATCCACCAGAATCATCCAGAATCTAGGGTTTGGGCCCACTTCCATGCATCTTTCATACAGAAAACGGTCGACTCCATTGTTGCGGCACGCAAACGTCTTGCCGCCTGTCTTGCCGGACCAGGATCCGTCAACGACCGACCCGAAGAAGTGTTCGTCATACCCCGGCCTTGTTCAGCACGTCCACCCTGCGCCGGAAGATCTCTTCCGTGAGCAGCCCGGACCTGAAAGCGGTTCAAAGCACGGTACCCGGTTGGCCATGTTGCATGAAGACATCGGAAGGGCTGGACGTCATCTTGCAACATGTGCGGTAACACTTCCTTCATGATGTCCATAAAGTCATCCTGCTTAATAATCTTCATGGACGTCGTCCTGTCTTGAGCTGACCCATCGTACTTGCTTTCAAAACGACCTCGAATAAGCTGCTTTCTTTGCTTTTCGATGACTGCTTGCTGCACGGTGCAGGGCTCGGTTGGGGTTCATAACTTTGCTCACCGTCCACCATCCAACATCCGCCTGCTTCCAACCCATCCAACGGCAAAGCGCGGCTCACTTGGAGTGGATTGGATGACGAACCTTTTCCTTCTTGATCATCGACTGGATCCATGGCACCAGTTCACCAGCTGGGCCTAGCTCAGTCGGGTCGAACAGAAACCCAGCGGGCTGCGGAGAGGCTCGGTGGAGACTCGTCTGCCCTGGTCGATTCACCTGGAGAAGGAAGGCATCCGTCGCCCATGTTCCGCGAGCAAATCTCGGGAGACGTGGTGCCGGTCTTACTTGGAGCGTCTGGGTTGGGACTCATGAAAACCAACTCGAAAGAGCAGCTCTGTGAGAGCTCACCAATTCTTCGGACTCCTCAACTCACAGGAAGACTCGCGACATCGCGGAGCAGGTCCGGCAGGTCTTCGCGAAGGATGATTCCGTCTTCGGACTCTATCATATATAAGTACTCCTGGCAATCCTTGGACCCTCCCGGAGTGATCGGAACATGTCTGGACCCGAACCAAACCCTTTCCATTTGAAGGTCCCAATTCTTCAAGAAGCCTTCGTGGCAATGGAACGTGGACGTGGACCCAACCAGTCATTTTGCAGTGCAATCGTTGGCGGCTTCTTCCCACCACATGGAGTGATTCAGGATGATGCCGATTCTACCGCTGCTCCAAGCAAATTCATCACTTTGGTCTTTTTCATCGTGGAGCGCTCTCTCTCTCTCTCTATCAAATATTACAAGTCCAAAGACCCAGTAAAAGCTGGTCTTTGACCTCCTTGAGTAATTAGTGTTTTTGCACCACCAACTCCAGCAAAATGAGGTCTTTGACCTATAACTAACCTGTAGTGTACCTGGTGGTAAGTGTGCCACAATGTGCCACAGCACACGAAGGCCCCCCAAACCAAATTATTCATCCCAAATCCCCTGCGACTTCAAGAATCCAAATTCAGTATTTTTTTTTGGAGTCGCAGGGGATTTGGGATGTGGAGGATTATCCACATCTCCATGTGCGTCATATCTTCCACTCGTGTGGTGGTTCCGGGGAACCAAACCCTTCTCGTCCGTCTCGGATCGGCCGTTTCACGCGCACGGCGCGAGGGACATCCCCGGTGACCATACAGCCACAGTGACAAGAGTCGCGCCAACAGCAGCACCTGGGTCCGGTGCAGTCTAGACACGTCGATGAGGATAGGAATACACTGCAGCTTTCGTAGCTGTAGGAGTATACATGGTGGAGTAGGGTGGAATGTCCTAGAATGTCGATTTATCATGCCACCGATCGAAGTACTTTTGCCGGGAAAGAAAGGTATACCAGGTATATCAAAAGCGGGCCACTCGCTGATTTCACTGAAGTCTGACTCAGCAAATTCCTGGTCCTTTCTTCCCTTCAAGGAGGGAATCATGTGTTGCAACGTGTCTGACTCACCGAACAATCCCCATGTTCCGCCAGTCAACCGGTCCAATGGCCCTTTGATGAGCAGGGCTCAATTGGATGAGCAGGGCATCTTTAAAACACAGTCAGGACTGTCGCAAGTGTATCTTTCTTGAAAGAATTTGAGTTGAGTTGTTTGAGTGGCCATGAATTTGAACGGTTGATGTCAAGGACTCCCAATGTTTGCAATGAATTGGTGAACAAAAGGGGTATCGTGAAAGAACGAATTATATAAAGGGGTTGAAAAACATGAGGGATTGTGTGTATGCATTCCAACGCCTTCCAACTGATGCTTCAAGATCAGCCAACGGTCGCGTCGATTGACCAGTGACAGACAGACGGGGAAATGGTCACGACCCAACGGTCTTTTCATTGAAGACTTGGGCTGGCAACACCGACGAATGCAACAGGATGTCCCATCGATCCAGAAAACCATAGGGAACCCACCAACGGATGCTGAGAAGCCTGGTTTGGTCCTCCCCCCCAAACCATGCCGCCAAACAAGAAACCCACACATCAAAACACACTCACACGTGGGCAACCGATTCAAACGCGAAGTAGCGAAGGTGGCTCCAGTGGGTCCCCGGGCCAAGAAGCGTTGCCACAGCGACAGCAGGGGTCGGATCGGATAGCTTGGGACCCGCAGAGAGGTACAGAGGTGAAACCTGAGCGAACAGCACGGCCGTCGTTTTTGATTGTTTCAAAAAAACAATACAGGATAGGACAATTCTCTCCCCACACACACCTTGAGGTCAGAAATTTGTCAACCCCATGTGCTCCCATCAATCCATTCTTTGTGGTGATCTATAGAAACCCCCGGAGGCTCAAGGGATCTCAAGGGTCTGATTTTCGGCACGTTTCTTCGGGCTGATCACATCTGTCGTTCCATGGACACTCGAATTTACCCAAATTGGAAAAATCCCCGAGATCCAGCTGCAGGACAAGTGTATTCCCAGGGCACAGCAGTCAAAACTGGACAAACCAGCTGGACAAACAAAACTGGACAAACACATGCAAATATGATCAAATATGTATATATATTGAATACATGCAAAACATCACAAAACTGGACAAATGCCCTTCACCGGGCGTGGTTCTTTCTGTCTCACATGCCGCCCGAAAGGAGTGTAGCACTCCTTCTGGAACCCACCGTTTGCGCAGCAAGACCAACTGTCTAACCCTTCTGATTTGTTCTTTTGCCCACCGCAGCACAGAAAACCTGTGCATGTGCCCTTGTACTACAGTATCAGCCAGCCTTCTGGGTGAAGCTTTGAGTGAGATGTGAGCAGCATCGCTGGCGGCTAGCCGGCGTGTGGGTACGAACCATTTCGAAGTAACACCGCTCCGATCCCTTGCACCTGTCACAAAAAGTCGACTTTGGACCAGACTATGAGTAAAAAAACTGCACGACTACACGTCAGCGTAATTAAATCTTCAAAAAAAATACTGACTCATAGGTTCCAAAAGTACAGAACTTTCCTGACCTTCATCTTCAGAAAACTTTGGGCTCAACGATTGATCACCTACGCGTTTTAAACCTCTGTTGGTATCGGTAGCTGTCTTTTGCCCAATTATTTCATTCAGTCCTTGGCTGTCATTCGCAGCGTTGGGTTACTGCGCCTGCCACAAAAAGTAACCACCATGTCCGAAAATGTGCACAGCACCCCTCGCAGTGCCAAGACTCTTGGGAAGAGAGCTGGGGCTGGGAAATCCTGTCTGCGCCACGACGGACCCTCCTCTGGTCCCTGCAGAGCCCCTCGAGGGTGAGCCAGATTTCTTCAGCGGCATCTTATAAGGACCCCTAGCGATCTCCCGAAATGTGCACGCCACCACAACGAGAGTGCAGTCGCGACAAGCGCCCGCCGCGGCCAACCAGATTCAGCCTGCGCACTCGAAATGCACTTCGAGGATTTCGAGAGGCATGAATGCACTGTAAATAGCAGCGAATTAGCCGGACATGCCGGCGCAACACCTCAATTAGAGGAACCATTACCGGAGGAACCCCTAGTGTGGCCACACTGTTTGGGGACATAATAGAACCTGCCATTTAATTTCCAGTTTGCAGAGCTGAAGTTTGGTATGAGTTAATATAGAATGTTCATACATTGATTTTTGTTTTGATGAGCATAAACGTTTCTCAAAACATCTCAGAACATAAACATTGAGTGTTGAGAGATGTTGAGGGTGACGATTCCTTTGTGATTATGGATATTGTTGTGGAGCTGCAAACCCTTAAAGCCAAACTCTGATTTCTCTGGAAACAGTGAACTTTATGGATCTTTGTAGAACAGTCTCGAGCCTCTTTCTTCCCATTCGAGCAGTCACACCTTCAACCAAACTTCCTATGGTTGATGCATTGATGTCCAACTCCGAAAGTAGCTCACGAAAGACATCACAAGCCGAATGGATGTCGCGAACCAAATCGTGCCATTTAGTGTTCTCTGATTTCCCGGACAAAAAGTCTATCATGGGATGTTCGAACTTGCCACTGACCCATTCAGCTCGAAGTTCCTCGGCAGTGTATTTGTCCGACAGCAGCGGTGCGGACTTGAGAGCATACAGAAGCTCATCCATGTCCGAGTTTGGAACAGCTGCCAGTTTAGCAGGAGTGGAATACTTGTCAATGTCAGCATGAATGTGGGTCACACTCTGAGCCGACCAATGCCACACATTTGCAGCTGGCTTCCAATTCAAGACCTTGTACAGGTAGCATTTCTCTTCGCGATTGGGAGATGACGGCATAGTCCACGTAGGTCGCGAACTGGGCAAGAGTGAGGAACCTGCACTTGTGGGCAATGAAGGCCTCCTCGGCGATGTCAACAAATTCATCGTCTCCACGGGACAGCTTGAGGATGAAGCATAGCCGCGTGGCCCGGCTCTCCTCTTCTTCCGCTTCATCATCACCTTTTGAGCCTCCCTTCTTGCAACCCTTTCGCTGGTCAGCTGTCCGAACGAGTTTTGGGTTCAGGCTCCTGCCCAATCGCTGGAGGAAGTCTAGGGCTTTAGGAGTCAAGTTGGACCTCGCGCAGTTCAATGTTCCTGTAAATGTTGAGAAAGGGTTGGAGTGCGACAGAGGAGTGTTTTCTTGAATAGCTGTGGGGGATGTGGAGAGGGGAGCTCTGCCCTGTCAAATCCATGGCAGTACATTATCTATAATTAGCCAACAACTAGTTTGTACATTTTCGTTTGGTTGCACCTCGGGCAATAACATGGCAGGCTCGCAAGGCGCGGTGTATGCAGGCAGACACCGCTTGAATTAAACGGGTTCTGCGCGCACACCAAAAACCAGTGGACGACAAAGCTACCAAAGACACGCCTCATCTTCATCCTCCACACAACCGCCAAAGGCTCTTTCGTTAAACAGTTTTTGTTGCTGCACAGCCTTCCCCCGTTCAGTTTAGATTGGTACCCTCCATACCTCACAGGAAACCTTAAGAGATTCAAGAGGTTGGCCAAATCGAAACAGGTCAACATGCGCGTTTTTTTTGTTTTATTTTCTGGCCTTGCTGAAGAAACCTTCCGAAACAAACAATCTTCCGCCAACGAATCAACCAACCAGCATCTCTCATCCGGCTCTCCCACACCACTCCAATCCAGGGGCGAACTGGCAATGGCAGGCACCACCAACAAGCTGACCACGTCGGCCAGCTGGTCCTTGCCGCAGAAAGACTGCCGCACTGTGAGGGAACACCGATGAACTACTTTTTGAAAGAAAGCCGGTGACAAGCACTGCAGGAGTTGTTTTTGCTTATTTTGCCAGTCGTTGACTTCCAGGATGGCCTAGTAAACTTAATAGTAGTACACACTTTCTCTGAAAAGCACGCGCCAAACCAAACGTGGATTTGTCTTTGGGGAAATTTGCTGCGACAAAGTGTTGTAAGTTGTCCCTCGCAAACGATTTTCAAGTGTTTCAGTCTATAATTTCCTTCGATGGGTTCGAACCCCAGGCCGCTGGGCACATTGGCCTGCACTGCCAGCTTGGAGTCGAACAGCACCTGCAAGAATTTGCACCAAAGAGGTCAACACAAACGCGCAAATCGTTGCCCACAAACGCGCAAAGGGTTGTATACATGCCTTGAAAGCCAAGCCAGCACCCTCTTTGCACGTGGCAACTGACATGCACATGGCTACGTGCTCTCGCACTTCCCCTCGCCTTCAACGGGGGATCTGGCACCACTGACCTGGAGGCTTGACAGAAGAGCAATCACCGGGTGTTTGGTCTCGCGGGGACTGGAGAGACGAGTCGCGTGACCAAGGAAGGACCCACTATAGTGGACTCCAATCTTGTGCTGTTCGCTGGCCGGGCCATGGCCCACCTAGATAATTGCAACACACTCTGGAAGGTGATGATGGAGGATTGTCACACTGCTTGCTAGTCATCCAAGGCACCTGTGGATAAGTTGGAGAGCAGAAGAGCGTTGTTCAACCTTGCTGATTCTTCTTCAGGAGTCGTGCCATTCTCCGGTCCAGAGAATTTGGCAGCCGCATAAGCATGACACTGAAAGCTGTTGAGAATATAGCCAGTACACCTTGAGAAAGACACCAAACCTTCATCAGACTTGATTTCCCCCAATTCGTGACCTTTGGCTCCATGAAGCCTAAGTGTGCTCGAGGTGAGCAGCCTGACAAGAACACGTTTCGGGACCTAGCAACGTATGTGCCGAAAAAAATGGACATCGGACTCACCACAACCAACACCGACGCCAATACCGAAGCTGCACCCATACCTTTCCTCCTGAATGAACCAGCTCTGCCTCAAATCGTCCAAAAATCAAATCTTCCGTCAAGTCTACACTCTTGCCACCTTATAGGTCCCCAAAAGTAAAAACTACTTTAAGTGCTTTTCATCTGATCACCCATCTTGACCGGTTTAGCTCTGTGGAAGTTGACAGAACCAAGCACCTTCTGAGTTGGTGGGACTCTCCCAATGAATCCGACGATTTCCGAGGAAATGATTGAAACCTATTGAAACATATTTTCAAAACAAGGATCATCCCTCTTGTGATTCTCCCGATCTTTGACATTCCATCGATGGGTATTGTCTGAATATCAAAGAATCACTTTGCAGAAAACCACTCTGACTGGGAGTTTCTATGTCGTTGCGCTCGCACCTCGCATTGTTCTAGGGATCCACCCACATCCCCATGGCTGATCCACCGGATGGTCAACCAGACGGTCGACTCGGTGATTGTGATTTTGGTACTGAACATATTATCGGAACACCTCCTCTCAGGATTGAGCGCTCCACCAAGCTAAATTAATCGGTTTCTAAGCACAAGGCACGCCTTTCCCCACTTAGAGCAGCGGCCGCAGTCCACAACATGATGTGACCTACGACCTCTAGGACCTCTAAGACCTCTACGACCTACGAGGTTGCTTCTTTCAGTAAGATACACATTGCAAGAAAAATATCTCTACAAAAAGACCTGAGCTTGCAATGTCTTGTCCTATATGATTACTGTGTACAGTATATGATACACTTTGTTTTAGAGTGTGGGACGCTATGCGTATGTGTGTTTTACGGTGTTTTTGGTGTTCTTTTAGTAAAAATCTGTGATTTTCATACTGTTATACCAAAATCTCTATATTGCATTTCTTTGAAGATTCAGATGGTTCATAATTTGAACGCAACATATCAATATTTATTTATTAAATAATGATTTTCACAACCAGAGGTTGACCCACGTTTCAAGGCATTGGCAACAAAAAGAAGAATTACCAGGGTAGAAGGCTACAATGAGCTAAGGGCACTATGTCACTCACTCAAGGCCATAGGCATGAGCATTGAGATGTTCCAGCCTGACTCCAAACTCCATTTGGACCCATTGACAGCAGAGGAGAGCAGGCATCAGCAGGGTACACACTTTGAGGCCACAAACACATTGAAGGGAACCACAACTGCACAGTTACCACCAGGATTTGACCATTTGGTCTCAGTGTCAGACCAAGGTGGCATAAACAGTGCTTTCATTGATTATGTGCAATACAAAGTTGGAATCATGATAGTTGTCTTGTCTGATTTCTAACATAGACTTTGGAATGACATCAAGACTGCAATGAAAGTGGCAAAGGTGTTCAAATCTTTTCCTGTCCTACAGCCTCCTATGGAATGTGAACTATGGTCCCAAAGGGACTAAAGCTTTCTTTCAGAAGAAGCAGGCTGCTGCTCTTATGAGTCCAACAGTGCCACCAGACTTCATGACACTTCTTCCATACATTGCACATGAACTTGGGCAAGATGAGCCACACACATTGGATGGCATTGTCAAGCTTTTCAGGAGGATCAAGGAAATGAAAAGTCTACAGGTTCTAGGACCATATGTGAAGCTCATGTGTTGGTTCAGCTGGTGGGAGAGCTATGACAGCTATGAATTCTATGAAGGAGAGAATTGGCTGTCCAAGTTTGTAATGAACTCCACAGGTACTGCTGCCACATCCACTTCCACTGATGATATTCAGCTGCCACCAAACCTCTCACCCCAAGAAGAGCTGAAACAATTTAGCATCAAGTTTGGGTCCTGGAGTTTGGCGCCCGAACTGGTGACCCCCCAAAGCAGCTATCAGAAAGACTTGGTTGCAGAGATGGTGAGACCTCTTTGGACTGCAAACAGCTTCATGTCCCAGCATGTCAGGTCACGAAGGGAATTTCAGGAGTTTGTCATGGGGATGGCTTCTGGTGATTGGTAGGTCCAGTTGCAAGACCTAGTTGTCCATGGTTTCTTTGATGTCCCTGCCATGAAAATCTTTATGGTGGCACTGAAGTGGGCACTGCAGAGAACTTGGCAATCCACCATGCACTGCTGATCAAACTCTTGAATATGAGGGCAATCTCTTTGACAGGCACCTTTTTGAGGCCACCAATGAGATATGCATGCCTTTGCAGGGAGGACAAAGCTGACACAACAAGCAAACAAATGCAAGCAGAATGGGAAACTATTTTGGAAGCAGAAAGAGTGATGGCAAATGGCATGGAGGTAAGGCCCATAGAGCTTTGCTATTTTGCTAGGACATCTTTCCAAAGGCTGTTCTACTTGACCAATGAGCTAGACATCCTCCAGCACAAACAAGGCACCAACAGAGTAGCTGCAACACTGGCAAAGACAGCTTGCTAACATCCTGGCAACACTGTGATCATAGAAAGCTCTCACCAAAAGATACCAAAAGGCAAAAGACATGATGAGAGAGGCACGCCACAACCAAACTAGCAGGGCACACAAGCACCACAGTGTCTTGACCTCAAATGTCTTGTCTGTAATCTAGACCCCCCACATCACTGTTAGCAACAGTGAGAAAACCCAGTCTTCAGCTGACAAATCCAAAGCACAGAAAGTTGTTGCCTTCACAAACCCAAACAGCCACACCATGAGCAAGGAGTTCCAGAACCTCATGCAGTTCAAAAACCAGGTCTTCCACTTTCACCTGGCCCAGCACCTCCCATGAGAGCATCTTCAATGAAGCTGCATCCTTGCAGTTTCTGCAGGAAGGGCAGCATGATATGAAGAAGGAGAGGTTTGAGGTTGCAACTTTGGTTTGTTCTGTGGGCAAACCTGGGGACATTCTGGCTTGCAGAAGCTTGGGAAGGGTGATGATGGCGGTGGCAGTAGGTTCATACAGCTTCCTGGGTTGGGAGATGCAGGTGGTTGGTGAGGCTGCAGGACCTTTGACCTTTCAAGCATGCAAGGAAGCAAGTGCAGTACAGTGGCATTACATGACCGATCTAGATGACTACCTGGCCATTCCTACAAAACCAGTGCTTTCCTTTGCAATAGCAACAAGCAGGGGAACCCATGACTCTTCCAATGCAAAAGGATTGTTCTCTCCAATCATATAAAATGACTACTTTATCAATTGGCTTCAGATACTATTTCTCTCCATGACTCTTCCAATGCAAAAGCTCACTTGGCTCGGCAATCATAAAAAATATCTCCCCGCTCTCTCGGTCTCTCTCTATCTCTTTCTCTCTTACTTGAGAGGAGGGAGACACGAAAGGTAGGACAGCGGGAAGAGAAGAGAACGCGAGAGGCAGGAACAACAATGCAACGTTCGACATGGTGATTTATCCCCTCGGAGGCGACCTTTCGTAAATATAATTTCATACGCACTCTAAATGCTCAAACATATGCTCTCGAAATGTTCAAAAAGATTCTTAGGAAAACAACCTTGCCCCATGGCTCAGATCATCGGTGAGCATTAAATCCTGAAACCATAAGAGGCTCACGAAGACGTTCCACAGGAGAGAATTGACGTGCTTCACAAAACAAACTCTAGGTATGTATCCCCTCGGGGAACATCGTGATTTTTCATATGCACTCTTTCTGAATGTTCAAGAGGATTTCCACTATTCTGAAATCATGAGAAGCTCACGAAGACGTTCTCCAGGAGAGAATTGAATTTAGTGGGGGGGGAGGGGGGGGGGG